GGTCTCAGTATTGAGTCTGTGGGTCTCAGTGTTGAGTCTGTGGGTCTCAGCTTTGAGTCTGTGGGTCTCAGGGCTGAGTCTGTGGGTCTCAGTGCTGCGTCTGGGGGTCTCAGTGCTGAGTCTGTTGGTCTCAATGCGGCGTCTGGGAGTCTTCGTTCTGAGTCTGTGGGTCTCAGTGTTGAGTCTGTGGGTCTCAGTGCTGAGTCTGTGGGTCTCAGTGCTGAGTCTGTGGGTCTCAGTGTTGAGTCTGTGGGTCTCAGTATTGAGTCTGTGGGTCTCAGTGCTGAGTGTGTGGGTCTCAGTGTTGAGTCTGTGGGTCTCAGTGCTGAGTCTGTGCGTCTCAGCGCTGAGTGTGTGGGTCTCAATGCTGAGTCTATGGTGCAATGTTGACTCTGTGGATTTCAGTGCTGAGTCTGTGGGTCTCATTGTTGAGTCTGTGGGTCTCAATGCTGAGTCTATGGTGCAGTGCTGAGTCTGTGGGTCTCAGTGCTGAGTCTGTGGGTCTCAATTCTGAGTCTATGGTGCAATGTTGACTCTGTGGATTTCAGTGCTGAGTCTGTGGGTCTCATTGTTGAGTCTGTGGGTCTCAATGCTGAGTCTATGGTGCAGTGCTGAGTCTGTGGGTCTCAGTGCTGAGTCTGTGGGTCTCAATGCTGAGTCTATGGTGCAATGTTGACTCTGTGGATCTCAGTGCTGAGTCTGTGGGTCTCAGTGTTGAGTCTGTGGGTCTCAGTGTTGTGTCTATGGCAGTGTTGAGTCAGTGGTGCAGTGTTGAGTCTATGGGTGGCAGTGTTGAGTCTATGGCAGTGTTGAGTCTATAGGCGGCAGTGTTGAGTCTATGGCAGTGTTGAGTCTATAGGCGGCAGTGTTGATTCTATGGTGCAGTGCTGAGTCTATGGTGCAGCACTAAGTCTGTGGGTCTCCATGCTGAGTCTGTGGGTCTCAATGTTGAGTCTGTGGGTCTCAATGCTGAGTCTGTGGGTCTCAGTGCTGAGTCTGTGGGTCTCAGTGCTGAGTCTGTGGATCTCTGTGCTGAGTCTGTGGGTCTCAGTGTTGAGTCTATGGCAGTGCTGAGTCTGTGGGTCTCAGTGCTGAGTCTGTGGGTCTCAGTGTTGAGTCTGTGGGTCTCATTGCTGAGTCTGTGGGTCTCAGTTTTGAGTCTGTGGGTCTCAGTGCTGAGTCTGTGGGTCTCAGTGTTGAGTCTATGGCAGTGCTGAGTCTGTGGGTCTCAGTGCTGATTCTGTGGGTCTCAGTGCTGAGTCTGTGGGTCGCAGTGTTGAGTCTGTGGGTCTCAATGCTGAGTCTGTGGGTCTCAATGCTGAGTCTGTGGGTCTCAGTGCTGAGTCTGTGGGTCTCAATGCTGAGTCTGTGGGTCTCAATGCTGAGTCTGTGGGTCTCAGTGAGAGTCTGTGGGTCTCAATGTTGAGTCTGTGGGTCTCAGTGCTGAGTCTGTGGGTCTCAGTGCTGAGTTTGTGGGTCTCAGTGCTGAGTCTGTGGGTCTCAGTGCTGAGTCTATTGCAGTGCTGAGTCTGTGGGTCTAAGTGCTGAGTCTGTGGGTCTCAGTGCTGATTCTGTGGGTCTCAGTGCTGAGTCTGTGGGTCTCAATGCTGAGTCTGTGGGTCTCAGTGTTGAGTCTGTGGGTCTCAGTGCTGAGTCTGTGGGTCTCAGTGTTGAGTCTGTGGGTCTCAGTGTTGAGTCTGTGGGTCTCAGTGTTGAGTCTGTAGGTCTCAGTGCTGAGTCTGTGGGTCTCAATGCTGAGTCTGTGGGTCTCAATGCTGAGTCTGTGGGTCTCAGTGCTGAGTATGTGGGTCTCATTGCTGAGTTTGTGGGTCTCAGTGCTGAGTCTATGGTGTAGTGATGAGTCTATGGGCAGTGTTGAGTCAATGGTGGAGTGTTGAGTCTATGGTGCAGTGCTGAGTCTATGGTGCAGTGCTGAGTCTATGGTGCAGTGTTGAGTCTGAGGGTCTCAGTGTTGAGTCTGTGGGTCTCAGTTCTGAGTCTTTGGGTCTCAGTGCTGAGTCTGTGGGTCTCAGTGTTGAGTCTGTGGGTCTCAGTGCTGAGTCTGTGGGTCTCTGTGTTGAGTCTATGGGTCTCAGTGCTGAGTCTGTGTCAGTGCTGAGTCTGTGGGTCTCTGTGTTGAGTCTATGGGTCTCAGTGCTTAGTCTATGGCAGTGCTGAGTCTGTGGGTCTCAGTACTGAGTCTGTAGGTCTCAGTGCTGAGTCTGTGGGTCTCAGTACTGAGTCTGTGGGTCTCAGTGCTGAGTCTGTGGGTCTCAGTGTTGAGTCTGTGGGTCTCAATGCTGAGTCTATGGTGCAGTGCTGAGTCTGTGGGTCTCAGTGCTGAGTCTGTGGGTCTCAGTGCTGAGTCTGTGGGTCTCAGTGCTGAGTCTGTGGGTCTCAGTGTTGAGTCTGTGGGTCTCAGTGTTGAGTCTATGAGTCTGTGGGTCTCAGTGTTGAGTCTATGGGTCTCTGTGTTGAGTCTGTGAGTCTCAGTGCTGAGTCTGTGGGTCTCAGTGTTGAATCTATGAGTCTGTGAGTCTCAGTGCTGAGTCTGTGGGTCTCGGTGCTGAGTCTTTGGGTCTCATTGTTGAGTCTGTGGGTCTCAGTACTGAGTCTGTGGTGTAGTGTTGAGTCTATGGGCAGTTTTGAGTCTATGGAGCAGTGTTGAGTCTATAGTGCATTGTTGAGTCTATGGGCAGTGTTGAGTCTATGGTGCAGTGTTGAGTCTATGGCAGTGTTGAGTCTATGGGTGGCAGTGTTGAGTCTGTGGTGCAGTGTTGAGTCTATGGCAGTGTTGAGTCTATGGTGCAGTGTTGAGTCTATGGCAGTGTTGAGTCTATGGGTGGCAGTGTTGAGTCTATGGCAGTGTTGAGTCTATGGGTGGCAGTGTTGAGTCTGTGGTGCAGTGTTGAGTCTATGGCAGTGCTGAGTCTGTGGGTCTCATTGCTGAGTCTGTGGGTCTCAGGGCTGAGTCTGTGGGTCTCAGCGCTGAGTCTATGGGTCTCAGTGCTGAGTCTGTGGGTCTCAGTGTTGAGTCTATGGGTCTCAGTGCTGAGTCTGTGGGTCTCAATGCTGAGTCTGTGGGTCTCAGTGTTGAGTCTGTGGGTCTCAGTGATGAGTCTATGGCAGTTCTGAGTCTGTGGGTCTCAGTGCTGAGTCTGTGGGTCTCAGTGCTGAGTCTGTGGGTCTCAGTGCTGAGTCTGTGGGTCTCAGTGCTGAGTCTGTGGGTCTCAGTGTTGAGTCTGTGGGTCTCAGTGTTGAGTCTGTGGGTCTCAGTGTTGAGTCTGTGGGTCTCAGTGTTGAGTCTGTGGGTCTCAGTGTTGAGTCTGTGGGTCTCAGTGTTGAGTCTGTGGGTCTCAGTGTTGAGTCTGTGGGTCTCAGTGCTGAGTCTGTGGGTCTCAGTGCTGAGTCTGTGGGTCTCAGTGCTGAGTCTGTGGGTCTCAATGCTGAGTCTGTGGGTCTCAGTGCTGAGTCTGTGACAGTGCTGAGTCTGTGGGTCTCAGTGCTGAGTCTGTGGGTCTCAGTGTTGAGTCTGTGGGTCTCAGTGTTGAGTCTGTGGCAGTGCTGAGTCTGTGGGTCTCAGTGTTGAGTCTGTGGGTCTCAGTGTTGAGTCTGTGGGTCTCAGTGCTGAGTCTGTGGGTCTCAATGCTGAGTCTGTGGGTCTCAGTGCTGAGTCTGTGGCAGTGCTGAGTCTGGGGGTCTCAGTGTTGAGTCTGTGGGTCTCAGTGCTGAGTCTGTGGGTCTCAGTGCTGAGTCTGTGGGTCTCAGTGCTGAGTCTGTGGGTCTCAGTGCTGAGTCTGTGGGTCTCAGTGCTGAGTCTGTGGGTCTCAGTGAGTGAATGGGTGAGTGGGTGAGTGGGTGGGTGAGTTAGTGAGTGACTGAGTGAGTGAGTGACTGAGTGAGTGAGTGGGTGAGTGACTGAGTGACTGAGTGAGTAACTGAGTGAGTGACTGAGTGACTGAGTAAGTGACTGAGTGACTGAGTGAGTGACTGAGTGAGTGAGTGAATGAGTGACTGTGTGAGTGAGTGAGTGAATGAGTGACTGAGTGAGTTATTTAGTGAGTGAGTGAATGAGTGAGTGGGTGAGTGGGTGACTGAGTGAGTGACTGAGTGATTGTCTGAGTGAGTGATTGAGTGACTGAGTGAGTGAGTGAATGAGTGACTGAGTGACTGAATGAGTGAGTGACTGAGTGAGTGAGTGAATGAGTGACTGAGTGAGTGGGTGAGTGACTGAGTGACTGAGTGAGTGAATGAGTGACTGAGTGACTGGATGAGTGAGTGACTGAGTGAGTGAGTGAATGAGTGACTGAGTGACTGGGTGAGTAACTGAGTGAGTGAGTGACTGAGTTAGTGAATGAGTGAGTGACTGAGTGAGTGTCTGAGTAAGTGATTGTGTGACTGAGTGAGTGACTGAGTGACTGAGTGAGTGAATGAGTGAGTGACTGAGTGAGTGAATGACTGAGTAAGTGACTGAGTGACTGAGTGACTGAGTGAGTGACTGAGTGAGTGACTGAGTGATGGGTGAATGAGTGGTTACCAGCGAGCATGAAGACGAGTCCGCTGATCCAGGTTCGGTCCAGACGGTAGAAGGATCTCGAGTTGTTGAAGGCGAAGGCACCACATGCCACAGCAGCCACGCAGACGATCAGCGAGAGGAGGAGCAGAGCTCTTGTCGTGTCCATGAACGCTGAGGGCGGGAGACGGTGGGTGGGTGGGTGAGTGGGTGGGTGAGTGAGTTAGTGAGTGGGTGAGTGAGTGGGTGGGTGAGTGGGTGAGTGGGTGGGTGGGTGAGTGGGTGGGTGAGTTGGTGAGTGAGTGATTGGGTGAGTGGGTGGGTGAGTGGGTGGGTGGGTGGGTGAGTGGGTGAGTGGGTGGGTGGGTGGGTGAGTGGGTGGGTGAGTGAGTGAGTGAGTGGGTGCGTGGGTGCGTGGGTGAGTGAGTAAGTGGGTGAATGGGTGAGTGGGTGGGTGAGATAGTGAGTGGGTGAGTTGGTGGGTGGGTGGGTGGGTAAGTGAGTGGGTGGGTGGGTGAGTGAGTGGGTGGGTGGGTGAGTGGGTGGGTGAGTGAGTGAGTTGGTGGGTTGGTGGGTGGGTGAGTGAGTGAGTGGGTGGGTGAGTGGGTGAGTTGGTGGGTGGGTGAGTAAGTGAGTGAGTGAGTGGAAGGGATAGTGGGTGGGTGAGTTGGTGAGTGAGTTATTGGGTGAGTGGGTGGGTGAGTGGGTGGGTGGGTGGGTGAGTGGGTGAGTGGGTGGGTGGGTGGGTGAGTGGGTGGGTCGGTGAGTGAGTGAGTGAGTGGGTGAGTGGGTGGGTGAGTGGGTGGGTGAGTGGGTGGGTGGGTGGGTGAGTGGGTGGGTGAGTGGGTGGGTGGGTGGGTGAGTGGGTGAGTTGGTGAGTGGGTGGGTGGGTGAGTGAGTGGGTGAGTGGGTGGGTGAGTGGGTGGGTGGGTGGGTGAGTGAGTGGGTGAGTGAGTGAGTGAGTGGGTGGGTGAGTTGGTGAGTGAGTGATTGGGTGAGTGGGTGGGTGAGTGGGTGGGTGGGTGAGTGGGTGAGTGGGTGGGTGGGTGGGTGAGTGGGTGGGTGAGTGAGTGAGTGAGTGGGTGCGTGGGTGCGTGGGTGAGTGAGTAAGTGGGTGAATGGGTGAGTGGGTGGGTGAGATAGTGAGTGGGTGAGTTGGTGGGTGGGTGGGTGGGTAAGTGAGTGGGTGGGTGGGTGAGTGAGTGGGTGGGTGGGTGAGTGGGTGGGTGAGTGAGTGAGTTGGTGGGTTGGTGGGTGGGTGAGTGAGTGAGTGGGTGGGTGAGTGGGTGAGTTGGTGGGTGGGTGAGTAAGTGAGTGAGTGAGTGGAAGGGATAGTGGGTGGGTGAGTTGGTGAGTGAGTTATTGGGTGAGTGGGTGGGTGAGTGGGTGGGTGGGTGGGTGAGTGGGTGAGTGGGTGGGTGGGTGGGTGAGTGGGTGGGTCGGTGAGTGAGTGAGTGAGTGGGTGAGTGGGTGGGTGAGTGGGTGGGTGAGTGGGTGGGTGGGTGGGTGAGTGGGTGGGTGAGTGGGTGGGTGGGTGGGTGAGTGGGTGAGTGGGTGAGTCGGTGAGTGGGTGGGTGGGTGGGTGAGTGAGTGAGTGAGTGGGTGAGTGGGTGGGTGAGTGGGTGGGTGAGTGGGTGGGTGAGTGAGTGGGTGAGTGGGTGGGTGGGTGGGTGGGTCGGTGAGTGAGTGAGTGGGTGAGTGGAAGGGAGAGTGGGTGGGTGAGTTGGTGAGTGAGTGATTGGGTGAGTGGGTGGGTGAGTGGGTGGGTGGGTGGGTGAGTGAGTGAGTGGGTGAGTGGGTGAGTGGGTGGGTGGGTGGGTGAGTGAGTGAGTGAGTGGGTGAGTGGGTGGGTGAGTGAGTGGGTGAGTGGGTGGGTGAGTGAGTTGGTGGGTGGGTGAGTTCGTGGGTGGGTCGGTGAGTGGGTGAGTGGGTGAGTGGGAGGGAGAGTGGGTGGGTGAGTGGGTGAGTGAGTGAGTGGGTGAGTGGGTGAGTGAGTGGGTGGGTGAGTGGGTGAGTGAGTGGGTGAGTGAGTGAGTGGGAGAGTGGGTGGGTTGGTGAGTGGGTGAGTGAGTGAGTGGGTGAGTGAGTGAGTGAGTGGATGGGTGAGTGGGTGGGTGAGTGGGTGGGTGAGTGAGTGAGTGAGTGGGTGAGTGGATGGGTGAGTGGGTGGGTGCATGGGTGAGTGAGTGAGTGAGTGGGTGAATGGGTGAGTGAGTGGGTGGGTGGGTGAGTGAGTGAGTGGGTGGGTGAGTGGGTGAGTGAGTGGGTGAGTGGGTGGGTGAGTGGGTGAGTGAGTGAGTGGGTGAGTGAGTGGGTTAGTGGGTGGGAGAGTGGGTGGGTGAGTGGGTGCGTGAGTGAGTGGGTGAGTGAGTGGGTGAGTGGGTAATTAATTGTGTGGGTGAGTGGATAGGTGGGTGGGTGAGTGGGTGCTTGAGTGGATTATTGAGCGAATGGGTGAGTGGGTGGGTTGGTGAGTGGGTGAGTGAGAGAGTGGGTGTGTGAGTGGGTGGGTGAGTGGGTGGGTGGATGAGTGAATGAGTGAATAAGTGGGTGAGTGAGTGAGTGAATGAGTGGGTGAATGAGTGGGTGAGTGAGTAGAGTGAATGAGTGGGTGAGTGAGTGTTACTCACCCATTGTATCCGTGTGGTAGTAACATTTATTACCCACGCAGTATCTCCACAGCCCCTACAAATCAACAACATGAACAAAAACATCAGTGTTGAGTCTATGGGCAGTGTTGAGTCTATGGTGCAGTGTTGAGTCTATGGGCAGTGTTGAGTCTATGGTGCAGTGTTGAGTCTATGGTGCAGTGCTGAGTCTATGGTGCAGTGTTGCGTCTATAGTGCAGTGTTGAGTCTATGGTGCAGTGTTAAGTCTATGGTGCAGTGTTGAGTCTATGGTGCAGTGCTGAGTCTATGGTGCAGTGTTGCGTCTATAGTGCAGTGTTGAGTCTATGGTGCAGTGTTGAGTCTATGGTGCAGTGCTGAGTCTATGGTGCAGTGCTGAGTCTATGGTGCAGTGCTGAGTCTATGGTGCAGTGTTGAGTCTATGGTGCAGTGTTGAGTCTATGGTGCAGTGCTGAGTCTATGGTGCAGTGTTGAGTCTATGGTGCAGTGTTGAGTCTATGGGCAGTGCTGATTCTATGACAGTGTTGAGTCTATGGGCAGTGTTGAGTCTATGGTGCAGTGTTGAGTCTATGGTGCAGTGTTGAGTCTATGGGCAGTGTTGAGTCTATGGGAAGTGTTGAGTCTATGGTGCAGTGTTGAGTCTATGGGCAGTGTTGAGTCTATGGTGCAGTGCTGAGTCTATGGTGTGGTGCTGAGTCTATGGGACAGTGTTGAGTCTGTGGTACAGTGCTGAGTCTAGAGTGCAGTGTTGAGTCTATGGTGCAGTGTTGAGTCTATGGGCAGTGTTGAGTCTATGGTGCAGTGCTGAGTCTATGGTGCAGTGTTGAGTCTATGGGCAGTGTTGAGTCTATGGTGCAGTGCTGAGTCTATGGTGCAGTGTTGAGTCAATGGGCAGTGCTGAGTCTATGGTGCAGTGTTGAGTCTATGGTGCAGTGTTGAGTCAATGGGCAGTGCTGAGTCTATGGTGCAGTGTTGAGTCTATGGTGCAGTGCTGAGTCTATGGTGCAGCGCTGAGTCTATGGTGCAGTGTTGAGTCTATGGTGCAGTGCTGAGTCTATGGTGCAGTGTTGAGTCTATGGTGCAGTGTTGAGTCTATGGTGCAGTGTTGAGTCTATGGTGCAGTGTTGAGTCTATGGTGCAGTGCTGAGTCTATGGGCAGTGTTGAGTCTATGGTGCAGTGTTGAGTCTATGGTGGCAGTGTTGAGTCTATGGTGCAGTGTTGAGTCTATCGTGCAGTGTTGAGTCTGTGGTGCAGTGCTGAGTCTATGGTGCAGTGCTGAGTCTATGGTGCAGTGCTGAGTCTATGGTGCAGTGTTGAGTCTATGGTGCAGTGTTGAGTCTATGGTGCAGTGCTGAGTCTATGGTGCAGTGTTGAGTCTATGGGTGGCAGTGTTGAGTCTATGGTGCAGTGCTGAGTCTATAGGCAGTGTTGAGTCTATGGTGCAGTGTTGAGTCTATGGTGCAGTGCTGAGTCTATGGTGCAGTGTTGAGTCTATGGTGCAGTGCTGAGTCTATGGTGGCAGTGCTGAGTCTATGGGTGGCAGTGTTGAGTCTATGGTGCAGTGTTGAGTCTATGGTGCAGTGCTGAGTCTATGGTGCAGTGTTGAGTCTATGGTGCAGTGTTGAGTCTATGGTGCAGTGTTGAGTCTATGGTGCAGTGTTGAGTCTATGGTGCAGTGCTGAGTCTATGGTGCAGTGTTGAGTCTATGGTGGCAGTGTTGAGTCTATGGTGCAGTGTTGAGTCTATGGTGCAGTGTTGAGTCTATGGTGCAGTGCTGAGTCTATGGTGCAGTGTTGAGTCTATGGTGCAGTGTTTAGTCTATGGTGCAGTGCTGAGTCTATGGTGCAGTGCTGAGTCTATGGTGCAGTGCTGAGTCTATGGTGCAGTGCTGAGTCTATGGTGCAGTGTTGAGTCTATGGTGCAGTGCTGAGTCTATGGTGCAGTGCTGAGTCTATGGTGCAGTGCTGAGTCTATGGTGCAGTGTTGAGTCTATGGTGCAGTGCTGAGTCTATGCTGTAGTGTTGAGTCTATGGTGCAGTGTTGAGTCTATGGTGGCAGTGTTGAGTCTATGGTGCAGTGTTGAGTCTATGGTGCAGTGTTGAGTCTATGGTGTAGTGTTGAGTCTATGGTGCAGTGCTGAGTCTATGGTGCAGTGTTGAGTCTATGGGTGGCAGTGTTGAGTCTATGGTGCAGTGTTGAGTCTATGGTGCAGTGTTGAGTCTATGGTGCAGTGTTGAGTCTATGGTGCAGTGCTGAGTCTATGCTGCAGTGTTGAGTCTATGGTGCAGTGCTGAGTCTATGGTGCAGTGTTGAGTATATGGGTGGCAGTGTTGAGTCTATGGTGCAGTGTTGAGTCTATGGTGCAGTGTTGAGTCTATGGTGCAGTGTTGAGTCTATGGTGCAGTGCTGAGTCTATGGTGCAGTGTTGAGTATATGGGTGGCAGTGTTGAGTCTATGGTGCAGTGTTGAGTCTATGGTGCAGTGTTGAGTCTATGGTGCAGTGCTGAGTCTATGGTGCAGTGTTGAATCTATGGTGCAGTGTTGAGTCTATGGTGCAGTGCTGAGTCTATGGTGCAGTGCTGAGTCTATGGTGCAGTGTTGAGTCTATGGTGCAGTGCTGAGTCTATGGTGCAGTGTTGAGTCTATGGGTGGCAGTGTTGAGTCTATGGGTGGCAGTGTTGAGTCTATGGTGCAGTGTTGAGTCTATGGTGCAGTGTTGAGTCTATGGTGCAGTGTTGAGTCTATGGTGCAGTGTTGAGTCTATGGGTGGCAGTGTTGAGTCTATGGTGCAGTGTTGAGTCTATGGTGCAGTGTTGAGTCTATGGTGCAGTGCTGAGTCTATGGTGCAGTGCTGAGTCTATGGGGCAGTGTTGAGTCTATGGGTGGCAGTGTTGAGTCTATGGTGCAGTGTTGAGTCTATGGGTGGCAGTGTTGAGTCTATGGTGCAGTGTTGAGTCTATGGTGGCAGTGTTGAGTCTATGGTGCAGTGCTGAGTCTATGGTGCAGTGCTGAGTCAATGGGGCAGTGCTGAGTCTATGGTGCAGTGTTGAGTCTATGGGTGGCAGTGTTGAGTCTATGGTGCAGTGTTGAGTCTATGGTGCAGTGCTGAGTCTATGGTGCAGTGATGAGTCTCTGGTGCAGTGTTGAGTCTATGGTGCAGTGTTGAGTCTATGGTGCGGTGCTGAGTCTATGGTGCAGTGTTGAGTCTATGGTACAGTGTTGAGTCTATGGTGCAGTGTTGAGTTTATGGTGCAGTGTTGAGTCTATGGTGCAGTGTTGAGTCTATGTGCAGTGCTGAGTCTATGGTGCAGTGCTGAGTCTATGGTGCAGTGTTGAGTCTATGGTGCAGTGTTGAGTCTATGGTGCAGTGTTGAGTCTATGGTGCAGTGTTGAGTCTATGGTGCAGTGTTGAGTCTATGGTGCAGTGTTGAGTCTATGGGCAGTGTTGAGTCTATGGTGCAGTGTTGAGTCTATGGTGCAGTGTTGAGTCTATGGGCAGTGTTGAGTCTATGGGCAGTGTTGAGTCTATGGTGCAGTGTTGAGTCTATGGTGCAGTGCTGAGTCTATGGTGCAGTGTTGAGTCTATGGGCAGTGTTGAGTCTATGGTGCAGTGTTGAGTCTATGGTGCAGTGTTGAGTCTATGGTGCAGTGTTGAGTCTATGGTGCAGTGCTGATTCTATGGTGCAGTGTTGAGTATATGGGTGGCAGTGTTGAGTCTATGGTGCAGTGTTGAGTCTATGGTGCAGTGTTGAGTCTATGGTGCAGTGCTGAGTCTATGGTGCAGTGTTGAATCTATGGTGCAGTGTTGAGTCTATGGTGCAGTGCTGAGTCTATGGTGCAGTGCTGAGTCTATGGTGCAGTGTTGAGTCTATGGTGCAGTGCTGAGTCTATGGTGCAGTGTTGAGTCTATGGGTGGCAGTGTTGAGTCTATGGGTGGCAGTGTTGAGTCTATGGTGCAGTGTTGAGTCTATGGTGCAGTGTTGAGTCTATGGTGCAGTGTTGAGTCTATGGTGCAGTGTTGAGTCTATGGGTGGCAGTGTTGAGTCTATGGTGCAGTGTTGAGTCTATGGTGCAGTGTTTAGTCTATGGTGCAGTGCTGAGTCTATGGTGCAGTGCTGAGTCTATGGTGCAGTGTTGAGTCTATGGGTGGCAGTGTTGAGTCTATGGTGCAGTGTTGAGTCTATGGGTGGCAGTGTTGAGTCTATGGTGCAGTGTTGAGTCTATGGTGGCAGTGTTGAGTCTATGGTGCAGTGCTGAGTCTATGGTGCAGTGCTGAGTCTATGGGGCAGTGCTGAGTCTATGGTGCAGTGTTGAGTCTATGGGTGGCAGTGTTGAGTCTATGGTGCAGTGTTGAGTCTATGGTGCAGTGCTGAGTCTATGGTGCAGTGATGAGTCTCTGGTGCAGTGTTGAGTCTATGGTGCAGTGTTGAGTCTATGGTGCGGTGCTGAGTCTATGGTGCAGTGTTGAGTCTATGGTACAGTGTTGAGTCTATGGTGCAGTGTTGAGTCTATGGTGCAGTGTTGAGTCTATGGTGCAGTGTTGAGTCTATGGTGTGGTGCTGAGTCTATGGTGCAGTGCTGAGTCTATGGTGCAGTGTTGAGTCTATGGTGCAGTGTTGAGTCTATGGTGCAGTGTTGAGTCTATGGTGCAGTGTTGAGTCTATGGTGCAGTGTTGAGTCTATGGTGCAGTGTTGAGTCTATGGGCAGTGTTGAGTCTATGTTGCAGTGTTGAGTCTATGGTGCAGTGTTGAGTCTATGGGCAGTGTTGAGTCTATGGGCAGTGTTGAGTCTATGGTGCAGTGTTGAGTCTATGGTGCAGTGCTGAGTCTATGGTGCAGTGTTGAGTCTATGGGCAGTGTTGAGTCTATGGTGCAGTGTTGCGTCTATGGGCAGTGTTGAGTCTATGGTGCAATGCTGAGTCTATGGTGCAGTGTTGAGTCTATGGGTGGCAGTGTTGAGTCTATGGTGCAGGGTTGAGTCTATGGTGCAGTGTTGAGTCTATGGTGCAGTGCTGAGTCTATGGTGCAGTGCTGAGTCTATGGTGCAGTGTTGAGTCTATGGGTGGCAGTGTTGAGTCTATGGTGCATTGTTGAGTCTATGGCTGGCAGTGTTGAGTCTATGGTGCAGTGTTGAGTCTATGGTGCAGTGTTGAGTCTATGGTGCAGTGTTTAGTCTATGGGGCAGTGCTGAGTCTATGGTGCAGTGCTGAGTCTATGGTACAGTGCTGAGTCTATGGTGCAGTGTTGAGTCTATGGTGCAGTGTTGAGTCTATGGTGCAGTGCTGAGTCTATGGTGCAGTGTTGAGTCTATGGTGCAGTGCTGAGTCTATGGTGCAGTGCTGAGTCTATGGTGCAGTGTTGAGTCTATGGTGCAGTGCTGAGTCTATGGTGCAGTGTTGAGTCTATGGGTGGCAGTGTTGAGTCTATGGTGCAGTGCTGAGTCTATGGTGCAGTGCTGAGTCTATGGGTGGCAGTGCTGAGTCTATGACAGTGTTGAGTCTATTGTGCAGTGCTGAGTCTATGGGTGGCAGTGCTGAGTCTATGGGTGGCAGTGCTGAGTCTATGGGTGGCAGTGTTGAGTCTATGGTGCAGTGCTGAGTCTATGGTGCAGTGTTGAGTCTATGGTGCAGTGTTGAGTCTATGGGGCAGTGCTGAGTCTATGGTGCAGTGCTGAGTCTATGGGTGGCAGTGTTGAGTCTATGGTGCAGTGTTGAGTCTATGGTGCAGTGCTGAGTCTATTGTGCAGTGCTGAGTCTATGGTGCAGTGTTGAGTCTATGGTGCAGTGTTGAGTCTATGGGGCAGTGCTGAGTCTATGGGTGGCAGTGTTGAGTCTATGGGTTGCAGTGCTGAGTCTATGGGTGGCAGTGTTGAGTCTATGGTGCAGTGTTGAGTCTATGGTGCAGTGTTGAGTCTATGGGTGGCAGTGTTGAGTCTATGGTGCAGTGCTGAGTCTATGGTGCAGTGTTGAGTCTATGGTGCATGTTGAGTCTATGGGGCAGTGCTGAGTCTATGGTGCAGTGCTGAGTCTATTGGTGGCAGTGTTGAGTCTATGGGTGGCAGTGTTGAGTCTATGGGTGGCAGTGCTGAGTCTATGGTGCAGTGTTGAGTCTATGGGTGGCAGTGTTGAGTCTATGGGTGGCAGTGTTGAGTCTATGGTGGCAGTGTTGAGTCTATGGGTGGCAGTGTTGAGTCTATGGTGCAGTGCTGAGTCTATGGTGCAGTGCTGAGTCTATGGTGCAGTGCTGAGTCTATGGGTGGCAGTGTTGAGTCTATGGTGCAGTGTTGAGTCTATGGTGCAGTGCTGAGTCTATGGTGCAGTGCTGAGTCTATGGTGCAGTGTTGAGTCTATGGGCAGTGCTGAGTCTATGGGTGGCAGTGTTGAGTCTATGGTGCAGTGTTGAGTCTATGGTGCAGTGTTGAGTCTATGGGTGGCAGTGTTGAGTCTATGGGTGGCAGTGTTGAGTCTATGGTGCAGTGTTGAGTCTATGGGTGGCAGTGTTGAGTCTATGGTGCAGTGCTGAGTCTATGGGTGGCAGTGCTGAGTCTATGGTGCAGTGCTGAGTCTATGGTGGCAGTGCTGAGTCTATGGGTGGCAGTGTTGAGTCTATGGGTGGCAGTGTTGAGTCTATGGTGCAGTGCTGAGTCTATGGTGCAGTGTTGAGTCTATGGTGGCAGTGTTGAGTCTATGGGTGGCAGTGTTGAGTCTATGGGCAGTGTTGAGTCTATGGGTGGCAGTGTTGAGTCTATGGTACAGTGTTGAGTCTATGGTGCAGTGTTGAGTCTATGGGTGGCAGTGTTGAGTCTATGGTGCAGTGCTGGGTCTATTGTGCAGTGCTGAGTCTATGGTGCAGTGCTGAGTCTATGGTGCAGTGTTGAGTCTATGGTGGCAGTGTTGAGTCTATGGTGCAGTGTTGAGTCTATGGTGCAGTGTTGAGTCTATGGTGCAGTGTTGAGTCTATGGGCAGTGTTGAGTCTATGGGGCAGTGCTGAGTCTATGGTGCAGTGTTGAGTCTATGGGTGGCAGTGTTGAGTCTATGGTGCAGTGCTGAGTCTATGGTGCAGTGTTGAGTCTATGGGCAGTGCTGAGTCTATGGTGCAGTGTTGAGTCTATGGGTACTTGGTGAGAGAGGTTCCCGGAGAAGCGGTACTCGAGCCAGAAGTCCGTTGCTGTGGACACGATGAGTAGCAGACTGCCCGCACAGCCAAAGACAAGGCTGGCTCCTAGCAGTCCGAACATCATCTGCAGAGACAAAGGTAATCCCCAGGTAGTCTCCGATGCAATGTAGGGGCAAGTGCCGTTAGCCAGTAGGACACGCGCATACTCTGAAGCACAGACGCACACACAGACACACACGTACACGTATACACACATACACATATACACACATATACACACAACAACAACAACAACAACCGCCATTCGCCACTAAGTGGCGGTGACGTCACCACGACGCTTGTGCCAGGCTATGTGCACCTTGAGGCTATCACGTGAAGTGTCGATCGCCCGCTGGCAGGAGGTCACGGGGCAGACCCAGCAGGTGCCACGGGTCGACTGACTGAGATGGCTGGGTGATGCACCACCTGTGCCCCCCTACTGTGTCCCCTACTGTGCTTTAGCCACCCGGCGCTCCGCTCGTTGTTGTGAGCGTCGCTCCTCCGCCCTCCGTTGTTGTTGGAGGGCGACTGCCTCCAACTGCCCAGTAGCGTCCTTCACGAGCCTCCTCCACAGAGGCCGATCTTGACACCGCTGGTACCGGTCATCGGCAAGTCCACTCAGCTCCACGTCCTCCTGTACCACGTCACTCCATCTCTTCTCTAGCCCCGTGCCTCCTGTACAACATCACTCCATCTCTTCTCTAGCGGGTGCCGCGCCCGTTTTGTTCCCTCGATCTGGCCAAACAAAAGCTGTTTCGGCATGCGGTGGCTGGGCATGCGGGCTACATGACCCAGCCATCGCAGCCTTGCCTGCCGGAGGAGCTCACCGATGGGACCTTGCCCAGATCTTTCAAGGATTTGTGAGCTCCTCACACAATCCAGCCTGCAGGTTAAACCCAGGATGGATCGTAGGCAAGCCAGCCTAAATGTTTCTAACCGGCGAAGATGTTCCATTAAGGGGGTCCACGTTTCGCAAGCGTAGAGAAGGGAGGGAATGACCGTGGCCGAGAAGACCTGAAGCTTAGTGCGGAGCGACAGACCATTTAGCTTCCACACAGCGTTACGCAACCGATGAAAAGATATTGCCGCTCGACTGATTCGGAGTGAGACCTCCGCTGTTAAACTGGAGCCGGTCACAAGCACACAGTCACATACACAGATTCACACACACACAGACACACACAGACTCACACAGCCAAACACACAGACTCACACAAACAGACACACAGATTCATACAGACACACACAAAGACCCACACACACACAGACACAAAGACAAAGATCCCCCGTATAGCCTTAACCGTATGTAGGGGCAAGTGCTGTTAGCGAGACACACACACAGACACACACACAGACAAACACACAGACTCAAACACAGACTCACACACACACACACACGGACACACACACACAGACAAATACAGGCTCACACAGACCCACGAACACAAACTCACACACACAGACATAGACACACACACAGACACACACACATACACACACACACATACACACACATATCCCGCGTATAGCCCTAGCAGACTACAGGGGCAAGTGCTGTTACCGGCGCTGTGGCTACACACACAGAGGGGGTGGGTGGCCAGCACCACCTTGCCCGGCCGCCTTTGTCTCTCCCCCAGTACTCGAACTATAGACGGACATCCACCCACTCACCCAGGCACTCACTCACTCAACCACCTACTCACCCACACAGTCACTCACCCACTCACTCAACCACCCACTCACCCACTCATTTACCTACTCATCCACTCACTCAACCACCCACTCACCCAACCCTTCAACCACCCACTCACCTACTCGACACCTCACTCACCCACCCACTCACCCACTCATTCACCCACTCACTCACCCACTCACCCACTCACTCACCCACCCACTCACTCACCCACTCACTCACCCACTCACTGACTCACTAACCCACCCACTCACTCAACCACCCACTCACCCACGCCTTCAACCACCCACTCACCTACTCGACACCTCACTCACCCACCCACTCACCCACTCATTCACTCACCAACTCACTCACCGACTCACTCACCCATTCACTCACTCACTCACTCACGCACCCACCCACCCACTCAACCATCCACTCATCCACACACCCACTCACTCACCTACTCATCCACTCACTCACCCACCCACGCACCCACTCACTCACTCTTTCACTAATTCACCCACCCACTCAAACATTCACTCATCCACCCACCCACTCACTCTTTCACTCACTCACCCACCCACTCACCGACCCACTCAGTCACCCACCTACTCAACCACTTACTCACCCACCCACTCAACCACCCACTCACCCACCCACTCACCAAATCGCTCAACCACTCACTCACAAAGTCGCTCACTCAGACGTCGAATCAATCACCCGCTCACTCAGTCATTAACTCACTCACCCATTGAGAAACCCAAAGACTCACACAGAGGCCCATAGACTCACACCGAGACCCATAAACACACACAGAGACCCATAGACTCACAGAGAGCTCCATAGACTCACACAGAGACCCATAGACTCACAGAGAGGCCCATAGACTCACACAGAGACCCATAGACACACACAGAGACCCGTAGACTCACAAAGAGATCCATAGACTCACACAGAGACCCATAGACTCACCACACAGAGACCCATAGACTCACCACACAGAGACCCATAGACTCATCACACATAGACCCACAGACTCACCACACAGAGACCCATAGACTCACCACACAGACACCCATAGACTCACCACACAGAGACCCATAGATTCATCAAACGGACACCCACAGACTCACCACACAGAGACCCACAGACTCACCACACAGAGACCCATAGACTCACCACCACACAGAAACCCATAGACTCACACAGAGACCAATAGACACACACAGAGACCCGTAGACTCTCACAGAGACCCATAGACTCACACAGAGACCCTTAGACTCACACAGAGACCCATTGACTCACACAGAGACCCATAGACTCACAAAGAGACCCATAGACTCACACAGATACCCATAGACTCACACAGATGCCTTTAGACTCACACAGAGACCCGTAGACTCACACAGAGACCCATAGACTCACACAGAGACCCATAGACTCACCACACAGAGACCCATAGACTCACACAGATACCCATAGACTCACCACACAGAGACCCATAGACTCACCACACTGAAACGCATAGACTCAACACACAATGACCCACAGACTCACCACACAGAGACCTATAGACTCACCACACAGACACCCATACACTCACCACACAGAGACCAATAAACTCATCACACGGAGACCCACAGACTCACACACAGAGACCCATAGACTCACCACACAGAGACCCATAGCCTCACCACACAGACCCACAGACTCACACACAGAGACCCATAGACTCACCACACAGAGACCCATAGCCTCACCACACAGACCCACAGACTCACCACACAGAGACCCATAGACTCACCACACAGAGACCCATGGACTCATCACACAAAGACCCATAGACTCACCACACAGAGACCCATAGACTCACCACACAGAGACCCATAGACTCACCACACAGAGACCCATAGACTCACCACACAGAGACCCATACAGTGAGGGAAAAAATCATTTGATCCCCTGCTGATTTTGTACGTTTGCCCACTGACAAAGAAATGATCAGTCTATAATTTTAATGGTAGGTTTATTTGGACAGTGAGAGACAGAATAACCACATCAAAATCCAGAAAAACGCATGTCAAAAATGTTATAAATTGATTTGCATTTTAATAAGGGAAATAAGTATTTGACCCCCTATCAATCAGAAAGATTCCTGGCTCCCAGGCGTCTTTTATACAGGTAACGAGCTGAGATTAGGAGCACACTCTTAAAGGGAGTGCTCCTAATCTCAGCTTGTTACCTGTATAAAAGACACCTGTCCACAGAAACAATCAATCAATCAGATTCCAAACTCTCCACCATGGCCAAGACCAAAGAGCTCTCCAAGGATGTCAGGGACAAGATTGTAGACCTACACGAGGCTGGAATGGCCTTACAAGACCATTGCCAAGCAGCTTGGCGAGAAGGTGACAACAGTTGGTGCGATTATTCGCGAATGTTAGAAACACAAAAGAACTGTCAATCTCCCATCGGCCTGGGGCTCCACGCAAGATCTCACCTCGTGGAGTTGCAATGATCATGAGAACGGTGAGGAATCAGCCCGGAACTACACGGGAGGATCTTGTCAATGACCTCGAGGCAGCTGGGACCACAGTCACCAAGACAACAATTGGTAACACACTACGCCGTGAAGGACTGAAATCCTGCAGCGCCCGCAAGGTCCCCCTGCTCAAGAAAGCACATATACATGCCCGTCTGAAGTTTGCCAATGAACATCTGAATGATTCAGAGGACAACTGGGTGAAAGTGTTGTGGGGTCAGATGAGACCAAAATGGAGCTCTTTGGCATCAACTCAACTCGCCGTGTTTGGAGGAGGAGGATTGCTGCCTATGAGCCCAAGAACACCATCCCCACCGTCAAACATGGAGGTGGAAACATTATGCTTTGGGGGTGTTTTTCTGCTAAGGGGGACAGGACAAATTCACCGCATCAAAGGGGACGATGGAACGGGGGCCATGTTACCGTCAAATCTTGGGTGAGAACCTCCTTCCCTCAGCCCAGGGCATTGAAAATGGGTCCGTGGATGGGTATTCCAGCATGACAATGACCCAAACCACACACGGCCAAGGCAACAAAGGAGTGGCTCAAGAAGAAGCACATTAAGGTCCTGGAGTGGGCCTAGCATAGTCTCCAGACCTTAATCCCGTAGACAATCTGTGGAGGGAGCTGAAGGTTTCGAGTTTGCCAAACGTCAGCCTCGAAACCTCAATGACTTGGAGAAGATCTGCAAAGAGGAGTGGGACAAAATCCCTCCTGAGATGTGTTGCAAACCTGGTGGCCAACTACAAGAAACGTCTGACCTCTGTGATTGCCAACAAAGGGTTTTGCCACCAAGTACTAAGTCATGTTTTGCAGAGGAGGTCAAATTCTTATTTCCCTCGATAAAATGCAAATCAATTTAGAACATTTTTGACATGCGTTTTTCTGGATATTTGTTGTTGTTATTCTGTCTCTCACTGTTCAAATAAACCTACCATTAAAATTATAGACTGATCATTTCTTTGTCAGTGGGCAAACGTACAAAATCAGCAGGGGATCAAATACTTTTTTCCCTCACTGTAGACTCATCACACAGAGATCCACAGACTCACCACACAGAGACCCACAGACTCACCACACAGAGACCCACAGACTCACCACACAGAGACCCATAGACTCACAACACAGAGACCCATAGACTCACCACACAGAGACCCACAGACTCACAACACAGAGACCCATAGACTCACCACACAGAGACCCATAGACTCATCACACAGAGACCCACAGACTCACCACACAGACACCCATAGACTCACCACACAGAGACCTATAGACTCACCACACAGAGACCCACAGACTCACCACACAGAGACCCACAGACTCACCACACAGAGACCCATAGACTCACAACACAGAGACCCATAGACTCACCACACAGAGACCCACAGACTCACAACACAGACACCCATAGACTCACCACACAGAGACCCACAGACTCATCACACAGAGACCCACAGACTGACCACAGAGAGACCCATAGACTCATCACCACACAGAGACCCACAGACTCACCACACAGACACCCACAGACTCACCACACAGAGATCCACAGACTCACCACACAGAGACCCATAGACTCACCACACGGACACCCATAGACTCACCACACAGACACCCATAGACTCACCACACAGACACCCATAGACTCACCACACAGAGACCCACAGACTCACCACACAGAGACCCATAGACTCACCACACAGACACCCACAGACTCACCACACAGACACCCACAGACTCACCACACAGAGACCCATAGACTCACTACACGGACACCCATAGACTCACCACACAGACACCCATAGACTCACCACACAGAGACCCATAGACTCACCACACAGACACCCATAGACTCACCACACAGAGACCCATAGACTCACCACACAGACACCCATAGACTCACCACACAGAGACCCACAGACTCACCACACAGAGACCCATAGACTCACCACACAGAGACCCATAGACTCACCACACAGACACCCATAGACTCACCACACAGAGACCCACAGACGCAACACACAGACACCCATAGACTCACCACACAGACACCCATAGACTCACCACACAGAGACCCATAGACTCACCACACAGACACCCATAGACTCACCACACAGAGACCCACAGACTCACCACACAGAGACCCATAGACTCACCACACAGAGACCCATAGACTCACCACACAGACACCCATAGACTAACCACACAGAGACCCATATACTCACCACACAGACACCCATAGACTCACCACACAGAGACCCATAGACTCACCACACAGACACCCATAGACTCACCACACAGAGACCCATAGACTCACCACACAGACACCCATAGACTCACCACACAGAGACCCACAGACTCATCACACAGAGACCCACAGACTGACCACAGAGAGACCCATAGACTCATCACCACACAGAGACCCACAGACTCACCACACAGACACCCACAGACTCACCACACAGAGATCCACAGACTCACCACATAGACACCCATAGACTCACCACATAGAGACCCACAGACTCACCACACAGAGACCCATAGACTCACCACACCGACACCCACAGACTCACCACACAGACACCCACAGACTCACCACACAGAGACCCATAGACTCACCACACGGACACCCATAGACTCACCACACAGACACCCATAGACTCACCACACAGACACCCATAGAATCACCACACAGAGACCCATAGACTCACCACACAGAGACCCACAGACTCACCACACAGAGACCCATAGACTCACCACACAGACACCCACAGACTCACCACACAGAGACCCATAGACTCACCACACAGAAACCCATAGACTCACCACACAGACACCCGTAGACTCACCACACAGAGACCCATAGACTCACCACACAGACACCCACAGACTCACCACACAGAGACCCATAGACTCACCACAAGGACACCCATAGACTCACCACACAGACACCCATAAACTCACCACACAGACACCCATAGACTCACCACACAGACACCCATAGACTCACCACACAGACACCCATAGACTCACCACACAGAGGCCCATAGACTCACTACACAGACACCCATAGACTCACCACACAGAGACCCATAGACTCACCACACAGAGACCCATAGACTCACCACATAGAGACCCATAGACTCACCAAACAGAGACCCATAGACTCACCACACAGCGACCCATAGACTCACCACATAGAGACCCATAGACTCACCACACAGACACCCATAGACTCACCACACAGACACCCATAGACTCACCACACAGACATCCATAGACTCACCACACAGACACCCATAGACTCACCACACAGAGACCCATAGACTCACCACACAGACACCCATAGACTCACCACACAGAGACCCATAGACTCACCACACAGACACCCATAGACTCACCACACAGAGACCCACAGACTCACCACACAGAGACCCATAGACTCACCACACAGAGACCCATAGACTCACCACACAGACACCCATAGACTCACCACACAGAGACCCACAGACGCACCACACAGACACCCATAGACTCACCACACAGACACCCATAGACTCACCACACAGAGACCCACAGACTCATCACACAGAGACCCACAGACTCACCACACAGAGACCCATAGACTCACCACACAGACACCCATAGACTCACCACACAGACACCCATAGACTCACCACACAGACACCCACAGACTCACCACACAGAGACCCACAGACTCACCACACAGAGACCCATAGACTCACCACACAGAGACCCATAGACTCACCACACAGAGACCCATAGACTCACCACACAGACACCCATAGACTCACCACACAGACACCCATAGACCCACCACACAGAGACCCATAGATTCACCACACAGACACCCACAGAATCACCACACAGACACCCATAGACTCACCACACAGACACCCATAGACTCACCACACAGACACCCGTAGACTCACCACACAGAGACCCATAAACTGACCACACAGAGACCCATAGACTCACCACACAGAGACCCATAGACTCACCACACAGAGACTCATAGACTCACCACACAGAGACCCACAAACTCACCACACAGACACCCATAGACTCACCACACAGAGACCCATAGACTCACTACACAGAGACCCATAGACTCATCACACAGAGACCCATAGACTCACCACACAGAGACCCACAGACTCACCACACAGAGACCCATAGACTCACCACACAGAGACCCACAGACTCATCACACAAAGACCCATAGACTCACCACACAGACACCCATAGACTCACCACACAGACACCCATAGACTCACCACACAGACACCCATAGACTCACCACACAGACACCCATAGACTCACCACACAGAGACCCACAGACTCACCACACAGAGACCCACAGACTCACCACACAGAGACCCACATACTCACTCACAGAGACCCACAGACTCACCACACAGAGACCCACAGACTCACCACACAGAGACCCATAGACTCACCACACAGAGACCCATAGACTCACCACACAGAGACCCACAGACTCACCACACAGAGACCCACAGACTCACCACATAGAGACCCATAGACTCACCACACAGAGACCCACAGACTCACCACACAGAGACCCACAGACTCACCACACAGAGACCCACAGACTCACCACACAGAGACCCACAGACTCACCACACAGAGACCCATAGACTCACCACACAGAGACCCACAGACTCACCACACAGAGACCCATAGACTCATCACACAGAGACCCACAGACTCACCACACAGAGACCCACAGACTCACCACACAGAGACCCACAGACTCACCACACAGAGACCCACAGACTCACCACACAGAGACCCACAGACTCACCACACAGAGACCCATAGACTCATCACACAGAGACCCACAGACTCACCACACAGAGACCCATAGACTCACCACACAGAGACCCATAGACTCATCACACGGACTCACCTTTGAGCCGTCTAAGCCCAAACACGTCTGCCCTTGTCTGTCTGTGTCTGTCTGTGTCTGTCTGTCTGTGTCTGTCTGTGTCAGTGTATGTCTGTGTCTGTCTGTGTCTGTCTGTCTGTCTCACTGTCTCTGTCTGTCTGTGGGATGAGTGAGTTGCAGTTGAGCGGGGCCCTGACTGCGATTTGCTGGGCGAGTGATCCGCCGATTGATCAGCTGAGTGAGTGATCAGCTGAGCGAGTGAGTGACCAGCTGAGTGATCAGCTGAGTGAGTGATCAGCTGAGCGAGTGAGTGATCAGCTGAGCGAGTGAGTGATCAGTTGAGTGAGTGATCAGCTGAGCGAGTGAGCGATCAGCTGAGCGAGTGAGTGATCAGCTGAGTGATCAGCTGAGCGAGTGAGTGATCAGCTGAGCGAGTGAGTGATCAGCTGAGCGAGTGGTCGATCAGCTGAGCGATCAGCTGAGCGAGTGAGCGATCAGCTGAGCGACTGAGCGATCAGCTGAGCGGATGGGTGAGCGATCAGCTGGGCGGATGGGTGAGTGAGCGGATGGGTGAGCGATCAGCTGAGCGGATGGGTGAGCGATCAACTGGGCGTATGGGGTAGTGAGCGGATGGGTGAGTGAGCGGATGGGTGAGCGATCAGCTGAGCGGATGGGTGAGTGAGCGGATGGGTGAGCGATCAGCTGAGCGGATGGGTGAGTGAGCGGATGGGTGAGTGAGCGGATGGGTAAGCGATCAGCTGAGCGGATGGGTGAGCGATCAGCTGAGCGGATGGGTGAGTGAGCGGATGGGTGAGCGATCAGCTGAGCGGATGGGTGAGCGATCAGCTGAGCGATCAGCTGTGCGAGCGAGCGAGCGATCAGCCGAGCGAGCTGGGTGAGCGATCAGCCGAGCGAGCTGGGTGAGCGATCAGCCGAGCGAGCTGGGTGAGCGATCAGCCGAGCGAGCTGGGTGAGCAGAGCGACCAAGCCGTGCCGAGCGAACCAAAAAGTTTAGCGAGCGGCGTAGCCGTCGGCCGTGAGTTTTGACAGAAATCCAGACCCCCCCCCTCCCTCCCTCCCTCCCTCACTCACTCCCTCCCAGCGGCACAACAACAACAACAACACCACCACCACCACCATCACCACAACAACACCACCACCATCACCACAACACCACCACCACCATCACCACAACCATTGGAACAAAGCAAAAAAAAAAACATGTTGTGCCTTCGTAAGGGCGAATTTGAGAGAGTGTGCGTGGAGTGGTGTGGGTGGTGGGTGGGGTTGGAAGGGGAGGGAGGGAGTGATGGGTTTGTGTTATTTTTTTTTGAACAAAAAGTTTCTCTTGTTAAAGTTTGTCGACTTTTTTTTTGGGGGGGTTAAAATTGTTGAGGTTAATTTTTTTTTTCATTTAAAGCTTTCGTGACTGCAGTAATTCGTATTCTTAGTTTTTTCGGTAAAGTCACCACGTTGAAGAGAAACAACAAATTAATAAAATATATATAAAACAATAAAAAATATAAAAACAATTCTCACGACGTTTCGACCATAACTCACGACGTCGTGAGAATTTTTTATTTGTTTTATTGTTTTATATATATATTTTTTATTATTTTGTTGTTTCTCTTCAACGTGACTTTACCGAAAAACAACTAAGAATATGATATTATTGTGTCATTTTATTTCGTCAATTTATTATTTCATTCTCATTCTACGTGGTGACTTTACCGAAAGAACCAAAGAAGATGAATAGGTTCACTCTCCTGTCTTCAATGTCCACCGGTCTTGATCACAAAAGCAAAGTGTTTGTGGTGAATAACAGCCATTTATGTACTCTTGAGGCATAGGCAATTAGCAAAAATAACACTGACTAACCAGGGACACGAAATAATAATGTTTTAAATTTTGATTTAAAGCTTTCGTGACTGCAGTAATTCATATTCTTAGTTTTTTCGGTAAAGTCACCACGTTGAAGAGAAACAACAAAATAACAAAATATATATAAAACAATAAAAAAATTCTCACGGACGTTTCGACCATAACTCAAACGGTCATCTTCAGGTGTGTGTTGGTTCGCATAAATTTATTTTTAAACGGCGCATTTATTTATTTATAAAAAACCGTTAGCGCCACGCGCAACGATTTGGCAGTTTGCCCAGGACTAGTCCATCTACATTCTGAAAAGAGGAGGGGGGAGACGAATTTTTTTTATAATGTATGCTGTCTGAAAGCCACTGTAAGCGTGAACAATCAATTAAGAACTGAAATGGTTTATCAAATCTTTCCAATGATTGCTAAGATAGAATCCATCTTCTCGGTTGAAATTGTCTCTGTGCTTGTATATGTGGATAGCCTCGTGAACGAATCTCTCATGGAAGCCAGATGGCTTACAAAGAACCTCCGTCTTGGAAAAGTCAATGGCATGTGAGCCTACTGAATTAGAACAATGATCTGCTACGGCCGAGGTGTTGGTCCTACCGTGTTTAAGGTCTGCTTTGTGTTCACGAATGCGGTCCGAGACATGGCGTTTGGTTTCTCCAATGTAACTACTACCACAGAGGCAACTTAGTTTGTAGACACCAACACACCTGAAGATGACCGTTTGAGTTATGGTCGAAACGTCGTGAGAATTTTTTATTGTTTTATATATATTTTGTTATTTTGTTGTTTCTCTTCAACGTGGTGACTTTACCGAAAAAACTAAGAATATGAATTACTGCAGTCACGAAAGCTTCAAATCAAAATTTAATCGCCTCTACGGGGAGGGTTTTCACATAACTTTAAGATCCTACAACAAACTCCGGGATAAGAAAGCTCAGCTGATCGAGTCTCTCACCTTCCTGAAGAGATGCCGCGACTCTGGGGTAATACCAATCGCATTTACACTGACCTCTGCTGCTGTAACTTCTTCTAATGCGAAACGAATTCTTTTCAAAACTAGCTTAGCTCTTATCTCAGAAAAAAATCAGACTTATACGCACAGAACAAGATCAGTTAGACAAGACACTCTACAAATCACACTTATCATTGACGGCAATAATGTCCACATCGGATTGGGAACAGGTAGACAATATGACTGCCTCTTCAGCTGCTACTATGTCGACCAAGTGTAAGGAAAACCTGATTTCCAAATTTAACCTCCTCTTCAACAAAAGACCGGACCCACACACCAAAAAGTTAGACGTTAACAAAGTCGTAATTGATCGCAGTAACAGTTCTATTTCCGATGGTCTGAAATCCGTTTTAGCTAAAGGTCTAAACTTTGCAGTCACACCTAAACACATACCAGTTAATGATATAATTGCCCAAGTAGACGTTGCTCTCAGGGGCCTGGGTCACATCGCTGCAGACGTAGCAAGATCTGAAATCGCTGCAACCCTCAAAAACGCTAAGATGCCAGCTAGCAACCTCAGCAAAGATGAGCGTTTTGAATTATATAAATTAAAAAAGAGGAATGATATTGTAGTCCTCTCAGCTGACAAGGGCAATGCTACTGTCATCATGGATAAAATAGAATACAACAACAAAATTTAAGAATTACTCGACGATGGTAGTTATACAAAAATAAAAAGAGATCCCACCAACAGCCTCGTCACACAAACCAACAAAATAATTTCTGATTCAACCGCATTAATTGATCAATCTAAACAGTTTTCGTTGAAACCTTCTGCTGCCAGGCCACCAAGATTATACGGCTTACCAAAAATACATAAAGTAGATACACCCCTTCGTCCCATAGTCTCTACTATCGGCTCCCCCACCTACAAACTAGCTCGTTTTTTGTCTGAAATCCTGCATCCTTTCACTGGAAAGACCACCTCTGCGGTACAAAATTCTACTCACCTGGTATCAACAATCAAGGGTATTTCCCTGTCCCCAGACGACCTGCTTGTCAGTTTTGATGTAGTTTCCTTATTCACCAAGGTTCCTGTACCTGACACCATTGCAATCATTGAAGACTTGGTTCATCAAGGACTAAACACTGAGGTACCCCCCCCTGGTGAGACACTGTTTAACCAATACATACTTCACTTGGAATGGAACTTTCTACAAACAAACTGAGGGCACCCCAATGGGCTCCCCCCTTTCTCCAGTTATAGCTAACATTTTCATGGAGAAATTTGAGACTGACGCCATCCAGACTGCCACTCTGCGCCCAACCTTATGGAAGAGGTACGTGGATGACACTTTTGTCATCTGGCCACATGGCCGGCCTGCTCTAGACCAATTCTTCGACCACATCAATTCCATACACCCAGCCATCAGATTTACCATGGAAGTCGAAATAGATGGCAAGATACCTTTTTTGGATGTCCTAATTAAAAAGAGACCTGATGGTTCAATGAGCCACTCTGTCTACAGGAAAGCTACCCATACGGATGCTTACCTGAAACCGGATTCCCACCACCATCCATCACAGAAGAATTATCTCATCAAGACTCTGTATCATAGAGCCCAATGCATATCCGACCAGGAACACATAAGCAGTGAACTCAAGCACGTACACCAAGCTCTTAGGGCTAATGGTTACTCTGACTATACAATCCGCAAAGCTATCACTCAAACCATGAAGAAGAACCCTCTTGAGGAGCCTTTCAAAACCATCACTTTACCCTACATTGCTGGGATCACAAAAAAGATCTCCAAAATCTTGAATAAACACAAGATCCAGGTCCGTTTCAACACATTACATAAAATCCGTGATCTGGTTCCGTCTGTAAAAGATGTGATTCTGGACATACAGTACCCTGGTGTCTACAAACTAAGTTGCCTCTGTGGTAGTAGTTACATTGGAGAAACCAAACGCCATGTCTCGGACCGCATTCGTGAACACAAAGCTGACCTTAAACACGGTAGGACCAACACCTCGACCGTAGCAGATCATTGTTCTAATTCAGTAGGCTCACATGCCATTGACTTTTCCAAGACGGAGGTTCTTTGTAAGCCATCTGGTTTCCATGAGAGATTCGTTCATGAGGCTATCCACATATACAAGCACAGAGACAATTTCAACCGAGAAGATGGATTCTATCTTAGCAATCATTGGAAAGATTTGATAAACCATTTCAGGTCTTAATTGATTGTTCACGCTTACAGTGGCTTTCAGACAGCATACATTATAAAAAAAAATTGTCTCCCCCCTCCTCTTTTCAGAATGTAGATGGACTAGTCCTGGGCAAACTGCCAAATCGTTGCGCGTGGCGCTAACGGTTTTTTATAAATAAATAAAGGCGCCGTTTAAAAATTAATTTATGCGAACCAACACACACCTGAAGATGACCGTTTGAGTTATGGTCGAAACGTCGTGAGAATTTTTTTATTGTTTTATATATAT